CAAAATTTTACGACTTTTTCTCTGCTTACATATAGATGATTTCAAAAGTTACAAAATTTCTATAAAAAAGTTAAGCGATTTTAACAAAAGTATAATCAAAAGAAAGGTAATCGATTTACCTTTCTTTTGATATATATTAACAGTTGCAAATAATTTATAGTGGTCCACAAAAATTCAGTTTTATCACAACTTTGCAAAATTTGACACTTTTTCACTGCTTACATATAGATGTTTACAAAAGTTGCAAAATTTCTATAAAATATTTAAGCGATTTTAACAATATTACAATCAAAAGAAAGGTAATCGATTTACCCTTCTTTTGATATATATTAATAGTTGCAAATCATTTACATTGGTTCACAAAAAATCGGTTTCGTTACAACATTGCAAAATTTGATTGCGTTTTTACGACTTATATATAGATCTTTTAAAAAGTTGATTTCAAGTAACTGCTGGCGTTTGTCGGACACTTCATATTAAATTGGCAGAATCACCGAACACCATTTACTGCTCCTATGATGACTGCAAACAAATCAAACAATTATAAGTATGCAAAATTGAAGTGCATTAGTAATTAAACAACTACCTCCACTGAATCGAGACGTTTGTAGGCATCTTTCCCTTCATCTTTGTTATCATCTTTCCCATGCAGCATTTTCCAATAGCTATGGGCAACATCCAATGACTCTCCGATAGAAACAATCTAAACGAAAAATTAAAAAAATTTGAATAACTAAAAATAAATAATTTATGTATTAAAATATATATATTTCTTTAAATGTAGCTGCCTATGCTTCAAGACGTCTTTTGTACAGCAACCTGAAATTAAAATAAAATGGTTAAATTATTGTTGTGGATGCAACCAGTTAGATTCTATCTGAAAAATAAAGTAAGAAATTATTATTTCTCCAATGAAATATAATTCATAAATAATGGATTTTATTTATACAAAAAGCAGATGACTATAGTTTAATTAAGATTAGTTTATTTAGATAAATTCATGCTCATATTTGCAAGACTTAATTAATTAGGTTAATCCAACACCAATTTAAACATTTTAAATAAAGTTTAAAAAATATATTAATATTTTTAAAAAGGAACAGAAATAGAGTAAGGAAGTTTAAAATATACAAAATTATATAACACATTCAGGAAGCAAATATCATGTTAGAAAAATAAATAAATGCAGTATTTTTTATTTTTGGATTTTCTTTAGTATATACATAACAAGCACATTGCAAATAAAAAGAAAGTAACGTATGTGAGTATCTATTATTTTCGCAATCTTATTTTTTTTTAGTATTTACATTAACATAGCAAATAAAAAGAAAGTAATGTAAGTATTCATTATGTTTTTAATATCTACATTTAATATATACAGTACTGAAAATGTGAAAGTGTGAACAACCCAATAATTTTTGTTGTTATTTAATTTAGGTTATTTTCTTATAAAAATATAGTTAATTCTTTAACTAAACCCGTGTAAATCCAAGTTTCAAACTTTGTACAATATTAAATAAAAATTCAATAAATATTTGTAAAAATTTCTAGCGTTTTTACTTAGATTTTCTCTATAAAGATTCTGAAGTTCTCAGCATTTAACACTTGGACTTTGTTTTACTAGAAACTTGGATTTACACGGGTTTAGTTATAGAATGAACTACATTTTTTTAAGAAAATAACCTAAATTAAATAGCAAAAAAAATTATATGTTAAAACTTGTCAAAATGTGGAGCGGCTATAATTATTTCGACCACAGTATATTAATATTTACCACTTATTATTATTATTATTTTTTTTAATATTAACATTTACGAATCAATTATATAGAGTGCTTCACAATTATACATCACCCAGTTATTGAGAATTAGCGACCAATAATTTGTTTATTTTTTATAATTTGATAATTTTTATAATATTTGTATGAAAAATTAAGTTCATTCTTTAACAAACACCATATCGACAGCCGGTTCGAAAGCGGTCATTCCCGGAATTCGGTTGAAGAACGCCCTATCTCAATTACCGATTCAAAAACGCCCTATCTTAACATATTTTTAATATACGTACATACATTTATTTCAGTTGAGATACGAAGTTTTTGAACCAAATTCTGGGATAGGGCGTTCTTCAACCGAATTCCGGGAATGACCGCTTTCGAACCGGCTGTCGATATGGTGTTTGTTAAAGAATGAACTTAATTTTTCATACAAATATTATAAAAATTATCAAATTATAATAAATAAACAAATTATTGGCCGCTACTTCGCAATAAGAGGGTGATGTATAATTGGGAAGCACACTATAGAGAAAATGAGAAAAAACTAATTACTAGTTACTATTTTGGCATTTTTTTCTAACATGCTTATATCTATTGTGGCTTAAAACTACATAGTGCTTAATTGCTAAAATTTTATCAGTGTGCATACTTGCGAATGCGGCTGTTAATAATTAAATATTAGTAGTGTACTACTGTTTAAATATCTTAATACTTACCAAGAACCAGGTCGACAGGTTTTAATTTTATTAGTGCCTTTTTCCCTGCCTTTCCATCGAAGTTGTACAGCCACACCAACTCGTCACTGAACAACGACTGCAGCACTTTCTCCAATGTACATCTAGATGTTTTCAGCTGGATGATGATGCCCGCCTTTAAACGTATTCGAGTTTATAAATATAAATATATACATATTTAATTAAAGAAAAAACTATACTCGTTCTTGAGCAGAACTGTAACTTACCATAGCGTCAGCGTGTGCCTTGTTTTGAAGGTGCTCCTCCACCTTAAGCAGGGTTTCCTCCGATGACATTGGTAGCAAACTTTGCAGCAAAGTTTGCTCTTCACTTACCAAGTCACCTGTGATTCGGCTTACACTGCGGTGGGTTTTTGCAGAGAGCACCTTGCATTCACGCAGCAGTTGACCCGGCGCCTGAACCTCACAACGCTCGGGCATCTGAAAATAAAATAAAGTTTAAAATAAAGTTAAAACATTAGTTAAATTTAAAAAACTTACCTTCTCGGCAAGGGCGCTTTCTACGGAGGAAAGCCTTCTCAATATTTCCTCCTGTCGAGACTCCACTCTTCCAAGGGCAGCCAAAATTTGTTGTAGCGCTGTTGAATTTCATAAAATTTAAGTGTAAATTAAAAATTCATCAACATATGTATGCTGCTAATTTAATGTACCTGAGTCATTATCCATGGCAGGTTGGGTGGCCATACGGTCGAGGAAAGGCTGGGACACGTCGAAACGGCGAGATCCTCCAGCTATAATGAGAACGTTTCAATTAGGAGAGTGTCACTAATATAATGAATACTGATTCTTCTTACCATTTGCCTGACTTATATCCGGCTCCTCCTCTCCATCAATTATAAAACTGAATTCCATTTCTTTCTAAGTAAAATTATAAAATAAGTTATGTAACATAGGAATTAAAATAAATTTATTCCCCACTGGAATAGCAAAAAACTTATGGTCTATATCTTCTCTCTTAATAATTTGAATGTCTTCATCTATAGTTTGAGCTACAAAAATACCTAAATCAGATGAGGACACCATGGGCTCCCTAAAAATGTCCCCACCCTTTGTCAAAACTACAACGCGAAAACTGTCTGTTTGGGTTTGTTGGTTGACAATTTTTAGGGATCCCGTTTTTTTTACTAAAGAAGAAACTATCTTTTTCTTTTTTGCAATTTATAATAAACTTATCTATTTGTGAAATTTTGCTAGAATCCGTAATATCTCTTCGTTCTTCTATTCTTAAAAATAGTTGCTGCAATATTTTATTTGGATTATTAATAATTTTTTTTATATATTGCATATAATTTTCGAATTTATATGCAGAAAAATTGTCGAAAGGACCAAATTGTTTAACGCAATCACTTAAATGCAAAAGACCATGGACATTGAAACTTATTAAATGTTCGCCATAAATATTACTAAACAACTTTACAAATTCTTTTAACATTTCATTAGCGACATTAGATTCTACTTGACAAGACTTCTCAGAAGAGAGAAGGCGAATACCGACATGCAACAAAAGAAAATGTTTTACCTTTCTTTTGATATATATTAACAGTTGCAAATAATTTATAGTGGTCCACAAAAATTCAGTTTTATCACAACTTTGCAAAATTTTACGACTTTTTCTCTGCTTACATATAGATGATTTCAAAAGTTACAAAATTTCTATAAAAAAGTTAAGCGATTTTAACAAAAGTATAATCAAAAGAAAGGTAATCGATTTACCTTTCTTTTGATATATATTAACAGTTGCAAATAATTTATAGTGGTCCACAAAAATTCAGTTTTATCACAACTTTGCAAAATTTGACACTTTTTCACTGCTTACATATAGATGTTTACAAAAGTTGCAAAATTTCTATAAAATATTTAAGCGATTTTAACAATATTACAATCAAAAGAAAGGTAATCGATTTACCCTTCTTTTGATAT